TGAAAAAGAACAATTATGATTGAAAAGTAGATTTATGCAAGTTTTGATTTAGAGAAAATTTAATTGATTAAAACACTAAGGCATTAGGTTTCTACTTTTAACATAAGCATGCAACTCTTAATAATTTGATCCACAAAATATTTTCCATTGTAGTTGTTCAAAATAATTAAAGCTCTTTTTAATTTCCTTTAGAAGTATTCTAAGCATAACTTGTACCATTGGCAACAAACTATCAAAAAATAATCTTCATCAAAATTCTATTAATCTTTAGTAATTCTCTTCTCTTTTAAAAGCATGAAAGTTTTTACTACACTATGGGAAAAACATGATTGAACCCATGAAATAGATTATCAAACATTCATCAATTAATTAAAAAGAAAACTACAAATTCCATTTGAACAAAAACTACAAATTCACATTAAAGCTTAAGTTTGGATCAAACTAATAAAAATTACACACTTATATTAAAAGTTTCCTCCCTAGCCCTAGCTAGGGAGTTAGTTCCCCATAATAAAATAAAACTAAAAACAGAATTTAAGACTTAGAAATATGGAGGGAAAAGAGAAAAAGCTCAAGATTGTGGAGCTTGGTGTAGTTTTACAATGCCGTAGCTCCATCTATTTATAGGAGGATGGGAGCAATATTCATGAATTTAATATGTCTTCCACTTGCCATCAAACCAATTGCCAAGTTGCTTCCTTTAATTAATTCATTGTGATGATGACTCCTTATCTAAATTCTTCAAAACTTTCTTCCACTTGAACACTTTGTCATGCATTTCCATACTTTCCTTCTTCTCATTGTCGGGTATCACTCTTGAATTTCTCCACACCACTCTCCACTTGCTTCTTCACTCCAAGCTTTTATCATTTCAAATAAGTACCCATCATTTTCAAATATATTCCTTAATCTTGGCCTAGTTCCTTGACTTTGGTTTTCACAAAGATCTTTGAGTCTTCTTATCAATTGCTCCACTTGCTCCACTTGCTCCATCTCATCTCTCGTATCTTATAAAAAAACTGCAGCAACTTAGTTCAAATTGTAGCTAGATAACAACTCAAGCATCATCATTCTTCTTTGCATTCATTGGTTGCAAGTAGTCAATTTGAACTTCTCCTTCATTGTTTATTCATTCTTTCTTTATTTTTTCAATGATGGAAGCTTGCATGCATGTCCTAGAGCATAGATGAAATTGATTGCTTCTTCTTTTCATTTGGCATTGGTGGAAAACACTTAATATCTACAAATAACCACTCATTAAATATAAAACAAGATTGGAAAGAAAACAATATAAATACTCTAATAGATTTACATAATACAAAAGAAAATACTAACAAATATAAATTTAAGGATAAAACTTGTATTAATTTTGTGCTCATCAGTAACCCTACCCTGCCTCCTCCGCCGTCTCTTTCCCTTATCTCTACCAATTGAAGTCTTCTTCTTTTTGTTTTTTTTTTCTCAACAGTATCATTGAATCCATCTTCCTTTAATACAGTCCACCCTCCATCTCTCTCTCCTTCTCCCTCATCAGCAACCACTTTATTTTATAGTTAGTTTTAAATTCAAAAGAACTTCTTAGGGTTTTTACTTCAATTTGCTTTTCTGTAGAGTTTTTTCCTCATGGTAATCCTTAGAGTGTGATCATAAGAATACAAAGTAATAAGAAATTGGAACATAAGGTTTTGAGGCGAGGAAGACGACTCCATGGAGAAACTGAAGGATTGGGAGAAGTTGAAAGAAGTTGAGAAACGATACACATACGAAGAGTTGGGTGCCTTGGTGGGGATCTTGGACTTGTAAAGAGCTCGGCCGATGGATAAATTTCTTTTGTTTGTAGAGAGAGAATTGCAGGTAGTAAAAGCAAGAGGAGAGGTTTGAGATGTGGGTTTGTTTCCTTCATTGTAGAGAAGCAGAGTAAGCTGAAAAGGATAAAAGGAGGAATAAATGGAGATTAGGGGCGGAGGAGGACTCCCTCCCAGTTGAAGGATTTTTTATTTTTTATTTTCTTATTTTCTAATTTTATTCCAAAGGGTAAAATTGGAAGTCAAACTCCAGTTGTATAAATAGTTTTAATTTTCTTTTAAATATGACACATGACAAATTTTGAATGGGAGCATCATATGCTGACGTGATAGTACCGTACTATTCTATAATTTCTCGTTTATGAGGGTGGGCTTGCCTAGATGCCCATGAAAGAGAGAGGTGTTGGTGGCTCTCGCTGCTGGGTTGGTGGCTTTGGGATGACTTGGCTTTAATTTATTTTTTCTTTAGTTTTAATCTTATATTTAGGTTTTTACGATTCAAATGACAGTCTTAGCCTTTTACTTTTAGTGTGAGTTAACATCTATTAAAAAATTAGGGGTGTAAGTGGAATAAATCAAATCTGGCCACAATAAAAGAGTGTGGCTCAATTAAGCCACTGTTAGTTGGTTTTGGTCTAGCCACAATAAAAGAGTTTGGTGGGTTTTGAGACAAGCAAAGTTTTCTTTGAGGCTGACTTGCTTTGTTTTTTTGTTTTTTTCTTTTCTTGTGCATGTGCTTTCTTTCTTTTTAAAATTTTTAATTGCTTTTGCTCGTTATTGATTTTATGTGATTTGAAGGGAATGAAAGTGTTGGCAAGTGGTAGGCCTGCCGGTATCATAGAAAGAGAGCCAGAGGGAGGTCTCGGGGGACTTACAAATAGTTAGATTTTTAAAATGTTAAATATTTTTAGGAGAATGCTAACCTCTATAGACCCTTTGCTTCCATTATAACATTTTTTAATTATAAACAAAAATAAAAATAGAAATTAGTGCTATGGTGGTGAGATTTGAGAAATAAAATAAAAAATTGTTCAATTACAAACAACAGAGAAAGCGAAGGAGGTCAGGTGGGGGAAATATGTGGACGGTGGGAGGCTATTGGGTAGGGATGAGGGAGATGTTGTTTGGTGGTAATGAGGGGTAGAGGAAGTGGGTTTCTTTCATATGCTTGTTTGGGTACTGGTCATGGGTCATTGCTGGGTATTAGTGTTTGTTTTGGGGAGAAGTGGAGAGGTAGAAGAAGGGTTGTGGGGCACTGCAAAGGATAGAGAGAGGATTGAGAGTGAGATGGAGGAAGAAAATATTTTTTAAATTGAAGAAATTAGGGAAGTCAATATATTTAAATTAAATATTTCATTTAATAAGGGTAAATTTAGAAAACAAAAACTAGCTTAGTTCTTTTGTTTTGTGCAAACCATTATGTCTGTTATGGTACTTGTTGCACTTAAGCATGGCTTAATTGAGCCATACTCAACAAAGCTTATCTTACATGCTATCAAACTTCTCTGTTCTTTGACTTTGGGAACTTCTTGAGTGTGGCTCAATTAAGCCATATGGCTGTTAGTTGGTTTTGGTTTAGCGACATGTTGAGCGTTGGAAAAAGATTGGTAGAGTCTTGGTTCCCATTGGCATGGTGAGGCACAGCTTTTTCTTTCTTTTTTTTTCTTTTTTTTAATTGCTTTTGCTCTTTATTGATTTTATGTGATTTAAAGGGAATGAAAGTGTTGGCAGGTATCATAGAAAGAGATCCAAAAAGCTCAGTTCTTTTTCTTCTTTGTTTTGCATGTACGGGCGAATCTATGAAGCTTCAGCTCATGGAAGTAGGTATTGCACTGAATTATGTTTCCTTTGGCCTTTGACATTTCTTTATTTCGGGTGTTGTCAAAGTTTAAAAAAGTGATGATAAAAAAGAAGAACTTCATATCTGTTTTTGAATGGTTTTGGATTGTGTTGCTTTTTCTATTTTCGTTTTAACAGTTTTAATTTTTAAATATTCTACTTACACGTGCAAATAAAATTCTTTTGATTTTTCTTGTATGGAGCTTTACATACATATGATCTATTTTCTACCTACACGTGTAAATAAAATCCTTGTGTTGTGTGATTGGTCTGCTTTTCCCTTATTAATTTCTTTTGGTTTGTTTGGGTTTAATTTTTTTAAGAAGGTGGGCTGGATTTGTTTTGACTGTTTTGGATTTTTAATGAAACTTAGGATAGGCTTCAAAGTGGGTTTTTGTTTCGAAAAAGTGGTGGCAAAGTGGTAATTTAGTTTGGGTTTTTATAATGAAACTTGGGCTGGGCTTCAGTTGGTGTCAATGTTTTTTGCGTGATGATTTGTTTTTGTAAATGAACTTTGGATTTTTAATCGAATTTCTATATGGGTTGGTTTTGTACCATCTCAGGCCCCGCTATTGGGCTTGAAAGTTAGGCTCCCTACAAGTATTAAGGGGCAAAGTGAAAATGTAAAAGGTTTTTGTCAAACTAATATTTACCAAACTAAACGGAGAAGACGAATTACATGCAAAAATCAATTATAATGCTGTGGGGAAAGTAGTTCTTAGTTTAAAAATCAATTATTATGAGATTCAAAATAGTACATACCTTTGCCACTAGTGGAACACCTGCACACTTTTTTGCAATTTGCTTTCCAATTATCTCCAGATCTGCACGAGCATTATCATCATGAAATGCTCTATTCTTCAATATGGACCAACATTCATCTTCTTGTAGCAAACCCAAAGTACGCCTCAGATTAGGATTTGTTTCCGTAATTGATGCAACGTTTGCACTGCGGGTGGTGACAATCACAGTGCTTTCCCGAGAACCAAGTTTTGACAAACAATTCATCAAATTGATCCATATTATACGATCTTCATTCCAAACGTCATCGAGTACAAGAATATATCTCTTTCTAGCCAAGGCTTCCTGAAGGTTTTTAAGCAATGCCTCTTGACTTTCTATCCTGGCAATTGTGGGGTTGAGTACTTCTAAGATCCTTCTTAAAATCGAATTGACGTCAAAAGGGTCAGATACACACACCCATATTCTTTTGTCAAATGATTTATCAATATCCGGCTCGTTGAATACTTTTTTAGCCAAGGTTGTCTTTCCGAGGCCCGGCATTCCTACAATGGGCATAACGGAAAGATTTTCCTGATTGTTGGAGTTGATCAAGGTCTTAACTATATCGGACAACAGCTCCTCCCTTCCAAAAAACTTCTCATCCGTATCAAAGCTTGAGACAGTTTCTCTGTTCACCATAGCTTGTGGGGTTGCATCCTTTTGTTTTGCAACCAGTCCAATCAAAGTTGCCCTACTCTCGAGTTCCGCCAAAAGTTGGTTGATGTTCTTAATTTTCCGTGCCATTTTAAGGCGAAAAGCAATGGGATTGGAGATTGAAAAGAAGTTGAGTACCTTTTTCTTCATGTGGTTTTGCAGCTCCAGTTTACGTCGAAGAACTTCATACTGGAATTCATCCAGCACATCATCAGCATCTTGTGCTATGTCTTTAAGTTTCTTCACCCAATCTTTGAAGGCGTGGTCCCGATCTGTTGGTTGCTCAGCAGCATCACGTAAGATGTTTTGCATGAGGGATAATGAATCCCCGAGCCTGGCCAGTTCTCCTTTGAATCCCCAAGCAAGACTAAATTGTTCAGTGGCAACTGCAGCTACTTTGGTCAGTATTCCCTCGGCAGCAAAAGTAAGCACAAACTCAGCGGCCATATTTCCCCTTTGGTATGTACGCTCAAGACAAGTAAAGAGCAGAATGCTTATTTAATTAACGAAACTGAAAGACGCGTGTAGTTTGTTGTCTCTGCTATGAACGAATTTGTAGAGGCAGGAGGAATTTAGGTTTACCTAAAGAACACTCTACTTAACTTATTTAGAAGGTTAAGAACTTCAGCTTTCAACTTTTACAAGACAGAGATCAGCACCAAGCTGTGAAGCAAAGGATAGCCGCAATCCCACAGATGCTTCAGCTTTTACACGAGAAAATCAGATTCCTCAATCAAACGAATAAGAGAATACGTAGTGGCCTTTTCTTTTTTCAAAACTAGGGTGACAGTTGGAAGATTTCGGAAAATTAGAATACTGAGGAAATGTAACGAACAAGAAAGGCTTATTGAGAGTCTTAGTTTCAGAAATCAACAGCCACAATCTTGCTCCCCAAGCACATCACCATCGTTATGTTTTGCACATGACCCTCTAAGGTCCTGTTTATAACTTGAGATACAATTAGACCAAAGTAAGAAACTAAACCCCAAAGAAATAGACAAAACACTACTCGATGTAATAGGAAATCCGATGACTAGATTAGCGACCCGATGCAACTTTCTCCTGAACTCTCTGTGTACATGAATTTTCTCTTCCGTAATAGCGACCCCCAAATTTTTTATGTACTGAGATGCGGGACCTATTTTGTTCACTCTTGTGTTTTAGACTACTCTGTGTCAGCTGAGTTCATTTGTTGCAGTCCATGGGTTCAGTTTAAACTGCAGATGTTAACGCTTTTTAATAAATTCATGTTTATGCGCTTTTCTCATTCAAACTCTTTTTTTTTTATCACTTGCAGCCCATCCTGGATTTTTATTTCTATTATTAAAGCCCATTGACTATACTTGAAATATGCAAATTTCCTTATATTTGTTTGATGACTCAAGACTATATTTACTTAAGCATAGACACAGAAATAAGTACCATATTTAACGTGGTTCACCCAAAATTGGCATCCACGGGCAATGCTAATGATAATTCACTTAATCAAAAGAGTACACGAATATGACAAAAAAGAACAATAGGCTCTCTCGCAGTGAAACTAATTAATCTCTCCCCCTCATCCCATTTCAATTCCCGACTTTTAGCTAAATCCAGAGTTATTTTCCTCCATCCAAATGGAGGGTAAAGACACTCTGCTTAAAGAACACTTTACTTATTTAGAAGGTTAAGAATTTCAGCTTTTAACTTTAACAAGACAGAGATCAGCACCAAACCAAGCTGTAAAGAAAAGAATGGATCTTACTTTTTCTTTGGGATAAATCACACACATTATCAGGATAGCCTCATCCCAGGGAGGGGAAAGTCCATTCACTTCCAGGATAGCCTCATCTCAACTTTTACATGAGAAAATCAGATTCCCTCAATCACATGAAACAGAGAATACGTATTACGTACTGAGGAACTTTGGCCTTTTGTTTTTTCAGAATAACTGAGGGAGGTAACGAACAACCAAGGCTTATTGAGAGGCTTACTTTTAGAAATCAACAGCCACAATCTTGCTTCCTCAGCACATCACCATCGTTATGTTTTCCACACTACCCTCTAAAGTCCTATTTATAACTTGGGTTACAATTAGACTGAAGTAATAAGAAACTAAAATCCCAAAACACTACCCTATGTAAATAAGAATCCGACGGCTTGGTGAGCAAGTTAGCGACCTAAATGCAACTTTCTCCTGAACTGTCTCTGTACATGTATCTCTCTCTTCCGTTGTTTCCCAATAGCAACCCCCAAATCTTACTTCTACTGAGATGAGGGAGATATCTGTCTCTCTATTTTGTTCACTCTTGTGTTTTAGACTGATCTTTGCTTCAGCTGACTTCACTTTACAGTTCATGGGTTCATTTTAAACATTTGGGCTTTTAAAAAAAATTTATATATATATATATATATATTTTTATAATCAAAAGTGCAAACCGATGGGGAACAAAGATCGACAGATCAACGAACATGAATAACTCTTCTCTCACAAAGTACTCTGTTATTACAAGAAAGGTTTTTAAATCAAACTCCAATGCAACCAAATGGAGACTAACAGCACTATATATATACATGATGAGCTATTTGATAGTTTTGGACCTGGATGGAAGATCCATGTGAGTAATTTCTGGGAGCCCTTCAATAGGGCATGGTAAATCACCTCTGTGATTTTGAAAACACGCCAATGCAACTACGCATTTGATGTGTCAACCTGAAGCAGAGTAAGGAATTTGCCACATTTAACTCTCTAGTCCGACACCACACACCGAACACAGGAAAAATAATGATAGGAAGAGAACGATGAACTGAAGCATAAACAGAGAAAGAAACACCATATTTAACGTGGTTGACCCAAAATTGGGATACATCCACGAGCAATTACAATGACAATTCACTAAATCAAAAGTGCACAAGAATATGACAAAAAAGAACAAGTAGGTTCTCGCAACCAAACTAAATTAATCTGTCTTCTTTCATCCCATTTCTCCCCAAATACATCAAAAACTCACTAGATCTCTCTAAATTGTGGCCATGGCTTTCACTCTCTAAAAGGACTTAAAAACTGTCTCTTTTTATAAGAGACAGGATGCAGGGCTTGACTGGCTAGGAAAAGTATTCTCCACGAGAAATGCTTGCCTTAATTAAGCTGCACCAAGTTGACACTGTGATGCAAAACTCATAAGAATAATATAACTCGATTTGCTAATGAGTGTCAAGAAAACAAACTTAAGGGATAGTAGCTTACCATTTTGTCAGTTCTAGACTACAGGCACATCGCATGCACGAGTTTCTTCTTCAATCTCGACTCTGCACGATCAATATAACACCAAGACAAACTTAGCAAGAAATGTTCAAAATTACCTTCAACTTTGAAAATGATTCTAAAAAGCTCATAACTGAAGATTCCTTTACCTGATTCTTGCAACAGCATAGGTAAATCACATGCTATCAAATAGGACTAGCTAATATTGATGAAGGTTCATCCTGAAGCTCTAGGAACAGAGGCCTTTGTTCTGTGTGATATGCAACCAAGCAAGAGTCCATGACCTAAATTGTAGAAATAAGAAAGAGGAAAATAGATCAACAACTTCCAGAAACTACATGTATCAACAACTGATATGAAACCTGCATTGTGAAACAGAAGATAACAGATGTTGCAGTGACAAGAGCAACAAAAACAAAGCCATTTTGTGAAACCAAGGACCAAAAGCTTCTGTTCACAATTTCACACATCAATTAAATATTAAAAAAAGGGACAGCTGGCTAGCTTTGGTTTTTTTTTCTTCTCCAAAACTCATGTTATAGTGTTTGTGATGCAGGACGCGTAGGACCTAAATTTATTAGTTTCCTAGATTCTCTAGTTTTCCAAGTTCTAGTAGGATTTCTACTTTTCCAGATTTCCAGATTTCTAGTTTTAAGTTTCCTTTTTTATTTGGGTTAGGATTTCTGTTTAAGCAAGGGATTTTTATCCTATTATGTCTAGGTTTTAGTTTGCTATAAATACCCCCATGTAGTTCTTTAAAATGGAGATTTGAATGTTGAGTAAACCTTTTCCTAGAACTCTCTGATTTCGTCCCTTCGATCTATATTTCTTCTCCTCGATCCCCGATATTCTTCTTTGTTCTACTGTTTCTGCCCTTTATCTCGTCTTTTCGATCTATATTTCTTCTCCTCGGTCTCTTATATTCTTCTATGTTCTATTGTTTAAGTGCTTAATCTAATACCTACGGGTTGTATTACATCAATTGGTAATCAGAGCCTTCCCTCACTTTCGTTTGCGTTTGATCTCTGCCATGGCACCCCAAACCGTGGCCAGCCTTGGGGAACAATTTCATGCATTCCAAGACAAAGTTTCCCACGATATCGCTGGCATGGAAACCCAACTCTCCAAACTCAGTGCTGACCTCAAAGACGAGTTGGTACAGGCTCACACACATCGTGCGACGACGGACCTTGCCATCACCAAACTCCAAGACTCCGTTCAATTGGTCATCAATCACTTTCGGGCTGGACACGCTGAACCTTCTTCTACCTCAGCGGTGCTCTCGTGTTCGTCTACGCCACCGCCACAAAGTGGCCTTTTGCCCACTCCACCGGTGGATCAGAAATTCAAGGCCATGCCATACGGCATGTCGCATAGCTCAATTGGGCTCTCGCTAGACACGCCCAAGGCTCAATTGGAGCCCCCTTTTTCTTTTGGGACTATGCCACCGCTCCATTATACCCAACACACAACGGGCCCTCCTTCAGTGACTACTCCGGCTCCTACCCTGCCACCCATTCCACATGCTCAGTACACTCATACCCCTCGCCGTTTTGACAACGATGTCATCAGCCACATCAAGCCTAACGCTTCTACTTTTGATGGTCGTGGGGATCCTACGATGTTTCTTGATTGGGTTCAAGCCATGGAAGATTATTTCGCCTGGTACGACTTGACAGATGCTCATAAACTTCGCATTGGTAATATGACGCTACAGGAGCCGCTAGACAATATTGGAATTCTGTGGAGGAGCAACTATACCAATTTGGACAGCCGCCTGTGACTCTATGGGACGAGATGAAATTAAAGCTTCGCGAACAATATCTTCCCACCTTTTATCGCCATCAATTATATGAACAATTATGGACCCTTTCACAAGGCAGTTCGACCGTTACTGAATTCCACGCTCGTTTTATCGAACACAAGATACGTGCGGGGATTCGTGAAGAACCCGACATCACTATGTCTCGCTTTATCCATGGTCTTCGTGACGATATCAAGTGTGAAGTCCGGCGGTTCCGTCCGCATACTTTGGAAGATGCATATTGTCATGCATTGGAAGCTGAGACATATTTGTCGCCACAACATTCAGGATATTCTGGTCAACTTGCAATCACCAACCAAACTCTTCCCACTACGGATATGCAGACCGGGTTTTCAGGACCATCTAAACCGCCTGCACCACCACCTAACAAAGGACCGGCTGTTTCTACTAATGCTCGCATTGAATGTTTCCATTGCCATGCCAAAGGACATATTGCCTCTCGTTGTCCGCAGTGAACTTTAACTATCAACACTCCCGCTAGTGAGCTTTGTGAGATTGTGGAGCCTCTCGAAGGTGTCTATGATCCGGACATTTATGATTGCTGACCCTCGTCCCCTATTATTCATACTTGCAGTCGGCGTTGTTGTCATTAATTTACCTTTTGTGGTTGTTTACTCGTCGGAGTCGAGTTCTTTTCGCCGGAAGAGAATGATGCAAGACGCGTAGGACCTAAATTTATTAGTTTCCTAGATTCTCTAGTTTTCCAAGTTCTAGTAGGATTTCTACTTTTCCAGATTTCCAGATTTCTAGTTTTAAGTTTCCTTTTTTATTTGGGTTAGGATTTTTGTTTAAGCAAGGGATTTTTATCCTATTATGTCTAGGTTTTAGTTTGCTATAAATACCCCCATGTAGTTCTTTAAAATGGAGATTTGAATGTTGAGTAAACCTTTTCCTAGAACTCTCTAATTTCGTCCCTTCGATCTATATTTCTTCTCATCGATCCCCGATATTCTTCTTTGTTCTACTGTTTCTGCCCTTTATCTCGTCTTTTCGATCTATATTTCTTCTCCTCAGTCTCTTATATTCTTCTATGTTCTATTGTTTAAGTGCTTAATCTAATACCTACGGGCTGTACTACATCAGTTTGTTTATAGTACTAATGCTAGAAATATAAATTTGGGATATATATAAATTTCTATTTATTGATCATCTAAAGTATGAACACAAAAACTGTAATTTGTATGATAAAACTGAAACGTCAAGAATCAACACGGCTAAACAATTTCTAATTTAGTAGACTTTTTATATGAATAATGATTGAAAAATAAAAAACTTAAAAGAAAAATATGGGTCAAACCATCAAATAGAATAATCCAATTTTCCCTATATATGTTCCATTTATGATAAAATATGGACATGAGACACTAGAGGCAGAAAAACGTAGAGCAGAAATGAATTCCCTCTGTTCTCTCTTCTGAGAAAAGTTGGCACGAAATCATGCAAGAGCTGAATTAACGTCCCCTGTTCTGTATGTAGTAATTTGTCTTCTGCAGTAGTTAACACACACATAATTTTCCTCCAATTTCAAAAGTGTTATACGAAAAAGATTTTGATAGCAAATCCTTGTGTTTAAAGCAATTAATTTTGTTCTTCCAAGAGGCTAGGAAGTCTTAGATATTGCAAACCAAAGAAACTGCTGAGTTGAGAAAGATGTTAACAGCCACTAAATTAACCAAATGAAAATGTGACAGGAGAGAAGAGACAAATCATGAACAAAATGATAAAAATTGAAGCTGTTTATGTGATTATATACGCGAATTTACATACAAGCTAAACAAAAGTGATCTCATATGATCTCTGGCATATATTGAAATATATTTTCAGGGCATATAACTATATGAGGTGGAAAGGGAACTGAACTAAGTACCTGAAAGGCATATCAAAATTATCACACATCATCACTTGTTCTTCTACTGTAGTAAGAGCCTCCTGAGAGCCTACACTTTATGCAGTAACAATAAATTGCATCAGGGAAACTGGTTAAATATAATCGAAAAGGAATGTATGTAAATAAAAAGAGAAACCTAAAAAAACTTACTTTGCACTTCTTTGGACATGTACTTCCCCTTCCTCCAAGCTCTAATATAAGGTTGGCATCATCAGAAAATTGCACACCAATATGAACCTAGATTTAATTTACAAGTACATCCTTATCTAGAATAATAAATTAATATAGAATAATTTACAAGCTATAATGATATGATAATAATTAATGTAATTTTCATTAAATACCGTCAGGGTTAAAGGGAACAGAACTGAAGTAACTGCACTTATTGCACATCACTTGTTCTTCCAATTGAGTAAGATGCCATCAATAGACAACTAAGGATTCAACTAAGCCCATGCAACTAATATTTGGATAATTCAATATGAAAATGATTTCTAGCAAAAATCGTAACAAACGAATCCAGGAAGTGATATAATTGTTATAATCATATGGAAGGTATAACATCATTATTAGGATCATGAATTTTGGTCACGTGGATAAAATTTTCACCTACTGCACCTCACTTGTTCTTCCGATTCGAGTAAAAGCCTTCTGAAAATACACAATTTATATATACCAATTAAAATGATGATAGATGTCGTGAGTAAAGCAACATACGAAGTACAAAACTCTGAAAAAACATTATTAATTAAGAAGAAAGCTCAAAAAACTATTTTAATGACTAATCTGATGATCAGAGAGTAACGTAATTAATAGGAGAAGATGAGTAGACTCACTTTGTGCTTCAATGTGAAAGTTTTAAACAATTAGGAGGAAAAACATGAACATCTAACTGTGCTAGTTTGGTGAGGATTTGAGTCAGTCGAATCATGACTTGAAGATTCCGATTCTTCAAACTGGTCAACTCCGTCAACTGTGGCAGTTAATCCCGGAGGAAGAAAAGTGTTCACCCGTTTTAATTTACTTCCTGAGATGACAGGGCAAAGTTCCCCATTAATTCAAAGACCATGTTTTGGTCAGT